AAAGCGAGTTAGCAATAGACCCGCTTTCCGGTAATTCCGCGTCAGAAAATCACCAACACTAATTGAGTGAGTCCAGAAATGAGAAGTGTGCACAGGTCCTCCCCGAGGAGTAAACAGTCAAAGCCTACAGCCCACACACGCAGGCATGCTCACACACCCATGCTAATGTCATTGATTTTTGAAACGCTTTCATACTTTATGGCTCCTGCCAAATGAAAAACTTTCCCAAATAGGTTGGTGTCGACTTCTGAACAAGGCAGACGTTTTTATGCTCGCTTTCACTTGCATGCAAAACCTTTTTGGAGTCCAAATGGAAAAGATTTTTTCTCAGTATTTTAAAGTGTCGGCCCATAAGATTCTTTATTCCGTGCTTTGTTATATCTTCTACTTCCAGTCTTTGATTTCATTCTTTCTTTCCTTTAGATATTTACTCAAATAAAATCTACCCTGCTTGAGAGGAGACAGACTTATTCCTTCATTGTGGCGCACCTTTTAATGGAAGCAAAGTCCATTATTCTGTCTGACTTCTTTAATACATCCCTGGCATACCAAAGACACCCCTTATGTTCATAAAAAAGCCCTCAGTCATTTATGGAAAATAAGAAAAGGAATCCACTTTTTCAAAAAACTTCACTTAATGTTATCATCATTTTATTTGTAATAAATATCAACATTAAGAACATAGAGGACAAAAATCTTTTGATAAAACTTTTATGTGAAAAGAAAACTGTGAGGGTGACAAAAACATTGTGATAGACTTTGGTTGAACATATACTGCAAGATATTTAAATAACATATAAGTTAATGAAAATAGTTTCTGTCAAAGACATCAAATTTCTTTGACAAGGGACCATAAAAAACAAACCCTATGATTAAAGATTTGTCTTTGCTCCTCCACATCAGTGACTGAACTGGCCTTCATAGGTAAAATGTGACATGCCCTTTGCTAGTAAGATTTATTTTCTGGTGCTCGTGAAGGCCTCAAACTCTGTGGGTGCATGCGAGTTCTCTGACTGCATTTGAAACTTATAATTCTGAGAGAAAAAAAAACATTTCCTGTCACCCTTTAATCTCCCGTGTTCCAACAAACGACATGTATTATTGTTATTTACACGATCACAATCTGTGTGCAAATGAAAATTAACAATTAAATCAAGGATTATGCACAAATATACAGTTCCATTGAAGTATTACAGTAATTCAAAAACAAAAATACTTATAAGGGAAGGAAACAAAAAAGCTCAAAAAGCATAAATTCTGTGATTCCATAAAATTCTAATATGATTATCGTTTTCAACATTTTCAACTACTATCATAACTTTTTCCTTTACCTTTAAATGACAAGATACTTTCACTGAACTGCTCCTGTGGCAATAAATATAAAAATAAGGCAAAAGTAACACAAAAAAAAACCTTATTAAATCTGCATCTTAAATGTACAACATGCTTCTAAGGAGAGCAGGAGATGTGAGCTGTATGAGGTATGTCCACTTTTGCAGAAAACTAGCATCGCATCAGTAAAACTCAAAATCTGTTTGTTCTTTCAGTCTGAAAAAGAGCAAAATGACTTTGTGCATGACCCCGGGGGCCATATTTGAACTACAACCCGACATGTGGCTTCTTCCTGTCATCACATGTCATATTACCAGCTGCCTCACGATGCCCCGGGGTGCCTCGGCACAGCAGAAACCGTCTCCAACACGGGGCACAAATGAAACTTTGGGGAGCGTTTATCTGCTCCGAAACTAAAGTCTGTTAATGCATCAAAATGGAGAGACAGAAGTAGGCTAACTAAGCGGGGAATGTCTGGCTCACAGTGCCGCTGCTGCAGATGTTGGCTGTGCTCCTCGGGAGCCACATTACTGCCACACACCTGCATTAACCAGGTGTAAAAGTACTCCCTGATTAGGAAGCTGGAATGAAAACCGACCGCGCGGTCTGTCCCAATACCCAGGACTGAGTCACTGCCACTGATCCCGCGCGTGATAGCGCGGGCTCTCTGTAAGCAGGCTCAAATGAGGCGAGCCAGAAAGAGAAGAGGAGACATCGAACAGGAGAGGCACAAAAGCAGGACAGCTGATGAAAAAGAGGAAATATCTTCTGTTTGCATGTTACAGAGGTGGGTGAAAATGGAAAATGGGAAGGTAACATCTGGCAGAGCGAGAATGAACATAAAGAAGGAAAGGGCTGGACATACAGAAGGGACAATGGCAAAAAAAGTAGCAAAAGAGAAGGATAAGAGTGTCTTATTGAAGCGGGCTACTAAGGAGAGTCAGAGCTTTCAGTACTTGAAACAGAGCTGCCGTCCTTCAGGCTTTTCTTCACCTCCGCCAGGTTCTTTCCCCACGAGGTGTGCAACACAACACTCACACATGATTAACACAACTCCCTGCAAGCCAGATGCTATTTAGAGACAGACAAGGTCAACATCTCCAACATTTCACATGCTCTGTAGACGCCAGGAGCTGTGAGCCACGTCCATGCACAAAGCACAAATGTAGCCACCCTACACACACACACACACACACACACCCTACACACACCTCCAGCTGACATTGTGGGATTTGTTTACCTCAGTGCTGACGTGGAAACACATGGGTTTGTCATTTTACAGACCACATATTCAGCAGGACCTGATAATTCTTCACTCCTGTGGTTTAAAAAAAAATAAAATAACTAATAGGAACGTGTCAATTCTCCATTTGTAGTTGTAAAATCTCTTGTTCCCAAATGGACAATGCAGCCGATTTTTTATGTAAATGCTGTTTCAAAGGTAAGTTTCTTCCTTTATAAAACATTACTGCTTGTCTTCTCCTAGCATTCCAAATGGGATCAGATTCAATCTTTAATAAAAAATAAAAAAGATTACATTGGAAGCCCTGGCTACCAGTGGAAAAACTCAGTGCTTCCATTCTTTACAAATCAGATCATTTACAAATTCATATTTCTGTTTGCTGCATAATTTGATATAGTAAATGTTTTTTTATTTGCAATATCTGCTGTAATAGGGCTCTTGTCCACCGTACCAACATGAAGACCAGCAGTGACAACAGGCTCTCTGCCGTCTCTCCCCATGTCTCGGCCGTCATGGCAAATCAAATATCACGTGAACACCCAACAAAAAATGAATTCAGCTGCTGGCTGGTGATATAAGTATGCCTGCAAAAGAAGACATTACCCAGCGGTGCAGAAAGGGCATTGCGTTGTAACAGTAACGCGAGGACTGTGCGAATTCCATTTTTGCAGGGGAAATAAAACTTTGCTCAATCAACATGGGTAGGATAGATGCTTCAAAGTTAGCCATTTTCTTTCAGTCATCAGTGCGTCCTCCCTTCTACAGTGCTCATTCACAACACTAAATGGCCAATCACAGTCAGCTTTCTCCCTGAAAGAGTTTTTGTGGGAGCTGAACCGTACCAACAATGCTTCAGTCCAGACATGACTGGCTGTTGCTGTTCATGAGCATTATTGTGATTCTTTACACAGACTCAGTCAAACAAGTCATTGAAAGCATGTCTGCCAACAGCAATGCCACCGTGTTAAAGCCCTAAACTTGAACTTTTTAAATAGATACTTATTTGCGCTATCCTTTATATGCTGTTGTCATTTCAGTGAGGATGACAACTGAAAAGTCCCTTACAATAAAAGTTGTCATTTAGCAAAGCACCAATCAACATTTGAAGGATCCATTCCAATAAACCTATGCCCAATTATTATATTTTTAATCTCATCATTTGCTCTGTTAAGAATCAACTAAAAACATGATTTTCACATTAGAAAGTACCCATGTTCAAATTAAACAGTTTTCTGTCATTTTAGAGATGAAATATAATTTCAACCTCACTGCACTACTCTGACATCAGGACCAGTCACTGATCCCTGTTCACCTGTGGATTTTTCCACATAAAAGTGGTCCAGTAGTATATCGGTATCAGATCTACTAGCTGATGAGCACATGGAGAGGTGTTTTCTGCTCAGACAGCTGTACAAACACATAATGCATAATGAACATAAATGCATTAAATGTTATAAAGATGGAACACTTGATGAAAGACAATACCGAGACGTTATTCTGTTGAGTTTAAAAGTCACATTGTTTAGCAGCAGTGCAAAAAGTCCACCTGCGTTTTGTCTAAATCTTAAAATGCATGCAGTAAAAGGAGCTTCCCGTCTCCTCATCTGGACCTCTGTGGGACGATGATGGATCGGACGTAGGATGTGGCAAAATATTATTAAGAGTGCAGGTTTGTCTTAAACTATCACCGTTTTTTTCGAGCAGCACACTGGGAAAATGGTCAAGTAAAGGATTTTTTTAAAAAATCTTTAACAATGCGACACCTCATCTCTCCATTCAAGTTTTAACACCGTGCCATTTGTGCAGATGGTGGAGCGGAGATCTCACAGATGATGCCTTTGTCAGAGTGTGCATTTAGGTGTGCGTGACTGCGTTTGTGTATATGGGCACGGGTAAGTGCTTGTGAGTCTGTGTGCACTTTGTGTGTCCGTGGGCGGAAGCTCATCTGAACTGTCAGCATGACAACGTGGGAGCTCTGATAGACGGGTGAGTGCCTTTTTTCATTCTCACAGCCTGATACAAGTGTGTGTGAGAGTCTATGCGAAGTTGCATATTAGTGTGTGATAAAGTGAGCACATTTCCAAACAAAATATGAGTCAAGAGCTGGTCTGGGTTTCAAAGGGTGATTATAAGCCGCTGGGATTATGATCCGCAGGGTGAGGGACTGCAGCTGTAAAATATTAGCAACTTTAGCTGAAGAAGCAGCAATTTCACTTGAAATTCTGGCATTTTGTCACTTGCGTCCATGACACGGCTGGCTGGGGTTGGAATGGTGCGAGTGTTTTGTGTCCTCTCAACTGTCTCTCTGCGTCAGAGCTTGCAAGTCGGCAGTATGTAGGGAATGTTGGAGGAACACATTTTTCCGACTATAGCTATGCAGAGACAGCGGGCCTCGGGGGGGTTGTCCTAAACGGCCGGTGAACGTGGAGGAAGAGGAGGAGGAGGAGGAGGAGGCTGATGAAGGAGTAGGAGGTGGAGGAGAGGCCTGGTCGGATGAGATGCTCTGAGACGGGCTCCTTCTGCTTGCAACACTATGGAGGCTTGAAGAAGCACTTCCCCCCACTGCACGGGGAATCTGGCTGGGAGGGTGGGGATCTGCACCTCCTCTCCTAACCCCTCCCGACAGACTTGTACTACCTCCTCCCTCCGTTTGAGATAAGGACTCAGCGGAGGAGGACACCCCTCTGGGCTGCTTGGACACAGACTGAACAAGGGTGTGATTAGCCACCGCTGACCCGGAGCCTGGGCACTGATTTGGACTAGGATTCGGGTGTGAAACTTCAAGCTGGCCAGGAGCGGTGGGAACGGCCTGGGTGGAAGACACGGAGGGGGGACCGTGGGCAGGATTACGAGCTGTGGGCTGAGCCAGGACCCCTTGGTGCTGGCGCTCCTCTCTGACGCTGTGCATCTCAGAAGCTGTGGGCCGCCCATGCAGTAATGGATGGTGATACGGGTGGTGCTGGTTAGAGAGGTCCCCTCCGAGTGCCGACACCACGCCCCGCACCACCCTTCGGTCCCTTGGAGCCTGGCTGCTGCTGCTGCTGCTGCTGCCTTGTCCTGGCCACCGGCCGGGATGGCTGGTCTAAGAGAGGCAGAGAGAGGAAATAAAATTAATGCAGAGACGTGACAGTGAAAGCGAAAACAACTCAGTCTACTCTTTTGTTTGAGAGCGAGTGTGTGACACAACATGCCGCTGTTTCAAAATATTAGTCACTGAGCACCTCTCCAGAGAAAAGGAGCGAGAGGGAGGAAAACAGAGATAGACAGCGACAAATAGAGACAGAGAGCACGGGAGAGTCCTGCTCTGAGTTCAGTATAAATTGTTAATTGGGTGACATTTGGAGCACGTTCAGTTTAGACTCCTGCAGCTTTGTGTAATTGTTTCTAAACCAACTGGAACTCTGCTCCTTAAAGAACAAGTACAAATGCACTCCCACGTACAGAAAAAAAGGACAAGTAACATGTGTATAAATGGGTATTTGCACTTAAGGTATGCACAAATCCATGTCATTGGAATAGGTTCTCATTCTGTCACACATACACATACAAGCTCGCAATGGGGAAGATAGCACATAAAGCTAGATGGCAGAAAAAGGAGCCACCTGTTCTCTTTCACACTCCACTGCACCCCTTATGCAACATATCTTATCACTGGCCCTCTTCTCTGTGTAACTCTCAATCTCACACACATCCAACCAAAAATCACACTGGGACTGAGTGTGCGGTGCTCACTAAAGAAACACAATCTCATCTGACACTGAACCTCGGGGGGAAAGTAAGCAGAGATTTGCCAACACAATGGCTGTGTGTGCTTCTCTGTGTGTGGTATACATATGTATGAGCATGTGTCTGTGTAATTGTATATGCACTCATGGTGTAAGCATGATGTGCATGTGACTCTAACGTATTTCTTTGCTCAGGCATGCAAATCAATACTAGAAGAGGTGCTTTGTTGAAGCTGTCGGCAGAAATTTGTGAGCGGCAGAAATGGACCAGCCAGAAACGAGCTAACTGAAGACAAGAGGTGTAACAATGGCCCCGCTAATTCAGTGAAGCAGTTTCAATGCATGAGCTATGACATACTGTCAGCCTGCAATTAAGCTGAAGAAGAGAAATGACCAAGATATTAAAAGCATGATAGTTTATATGACAAATTATAATTGTAGGTCATGTGCTTTGTGAGTGTAAATATATAGTTTATATGTGTGCGTAAAGATGATGGCCAGTTTTATAAATGTATATATTACTGGCTAACTATTAATATCGAGCCATTACAACTGTAACAAGATAAATTACAGAAATGAGAAGTTAAATTAACGTAAAGTTCAATTAAGCATAGACACGTCTTTTTGAGTCAGCATGGTCTTTAGGTCTGCTTCACTGTCCAGTATGCAACATTACCATAAATGTTCAAAGTTCAAAGTGATCATTTCTTCTGTATTTCGCAAATATTTACTCATTTTGATTATATGATAGACTATAGATATTTAAATCACTAAATTCCTTGAAGCTATACGTTGACAACATTATACTTTATTATATTTCCCTGTATTTTGTTTACCAGAACACATTGCATCTATGGATGTGCTGTCACTGGGCTTCATGCACACATTCCCAGTTTTTACCAATGGTATTGATTTTGATTTTCAATAGTGCTCTTTTTTTAACATAAATGAAGGTATTGGATAAATGAAAAGTATATGCTGGGTCATTAGATCAAAGAGACAACAATATTTGATCCAATTTTAAACCCATGGTTCAAATCTTTATTGACTGGGCAAACAGATTTAATAAGGGAATCCTTTTCATGCTATGAAAAGAAAGTAGTACCACTATATTACTATACATGGTTGGAAATTTCTCAGTCCAATGGTTTGTGAAAGAATCCAACCCCTAAACACCACTAGACTTGAAATAGCTCGCTCTGAGGTGCTATTTCTAGCTTCTTTTTTTTCTTTTTGCATTTCAAACTATGAAGGGATTCTGGGAGGATTTAGCCGTGACTGTTAAGAGCTCTAATTTAATCTGAGGCAATATGGAGAACAGAGTGGGGTAAATATGACTATATAAACAACGTCCTGAGGATAGAAGACAAGTGAACGGGAATGACCTTTCTTTAAACTTTACTTTGTTATTGATACTGATCAAGTAAAGGGAAGACGGTTGTCTTTCAGAACATAAAGATAATGGTTAATCTCCTGTTTTTTTGTGGGTTCTCGTTACCTTTAATATCTTACATAAGCTTGTCCCCCACAGGAGGAAAACATACTCGACATTATATGGACATCTGGACTGGTGGCAGAGTCATGGCTCATTAAAATGAAGAAACTAAAAAGAATTTGAAGATTGTCTGAGCTGAATATCATTCTTGCTTGTAATAGTCTTTTAAGAGTGTAAAAACACGATATGACATTATCATTAGATTCATCAAACTGTGGCAGTGTCCTTAAAGATGGCATGGGGAATGCATTCTCCACTTAAGAGAGGTGTGGGATACTATGAGAATTTTATTTATTTTTTTAAAGGGGGGGGGTATGTATGTATGTATGTATGTATGTATGTATGTATGTATGTATGTA